ACAAGGCAAGGAGAAAAGCAAAGAAAAATCCTAAGTACAAGAACAAGGAGCCTTCGGCAATCACCTCCGGCGCTTTCATACACCCGGTCTATCATGGGGTACTCTTCATCTTTATCCCCCATTAGCCGGAATCGCCGGAAGCCAAACAACTTAAGCTCGTCGGGAAGAGTGGCAGTCTTAATCGCCATCAGCTTATCGGAACCTTCGGGCTTCGCAGACAGCTTCTTCCCAGCCTTCTCAAGGGTATAGCTCCCGACCTTGGGATGCCGCCGGAAGTGATCTAGAAGAGGCCTCGGAAAAGGGTTCTCAGCCATCCGGATATAACAGAACTTATCCTTCCACCCCTTATGGGAGGAAGGCACCTCGGAGAATAACCTCCACCCCGGCAGCTGCTGCAAATTAGCGAATCCTTCGCTGTTGGCGTGCCCCCCTCGGCACAAGTTAAAGGACAGAAAGAATTGGTCCAGGGTAGGATCGACACCTCGAGATCTACACAAGGACAGGAACCCCGCCAAGTATGAGTGGCTATTAGGGGTTAGTTGACAGGGGGACAGCTTCACATACCGGAGGTACTCCAGCACAAACCAGTGAAGGGGGAAGCGCAAACCCAGCTCCACGGAGAGAAGGTGAACCGCAAAACACCCCTCGGGAGGCTTGGATAACAAATCTTCAGGGCCCGGCTCCACTACCTGTGCCGAGGGCCCGACAAAAAACTGCGTGGCCATAAGCTCGGCGCCCGTGGCTGTAGTCCTCACATCGAGGGCGGCGGTATTCAGATAGGAATGACCCTCCGGGATTCCTACGGGTTGCCCCGCATCGGCAGCGGCCCCTTTCTTCTTCGGGGGCCCCCGAGACTTCTTCTTCTTCTTAGCCGGGGCCACGCTGAGGGGTTCCGGATCCAGCGGCCTAGAACTCCCGGTTTCATCAGCATTCACAGGGGGAGGAACGGCCATGGTGACTCTTTTCCGCTCTTTCTCTTCTTCCTCCTCGGCGGTTTGGATCGCGAGGGCCATCTCCTCGTCTTCGATCACTTGTTCAAACTCCTCAGCTTCGGCCTCAGTTATGAGCCGTTTTTGAACTTCGGCAGCTACTTGCGAGTCGTTGATGGCCGAGGGCTGCTCACTAGAGGACTCCACCTCAGAAATACTTTCGGAGTGCACCGGGGCCTCCCTCGAGATGTCCTGAGAATCACTTTGCGAAGACATGATGTCCGAGAGCGAGGGATCCTAGAAAGAAAGTTGCCTAAGTATCCTAGTCGAAGGCTACCAGGACCACTAGCACTAAATCTAAAGGAGAAGTGGCAGAAAATGCTAAGGAAGTGATGAACAGAGGGACTGACCTCGGAAGCGTAATTCGGTTGAAGGCTGGACTTTCTCTCACTAGAAATTTGGGCAGAGCTTCGCTAGAGAGATGGAATGCGCAAGCGAACTGAGCTCCGCCTTGGGGTATATATAGGCGACTGGACCTCGAGAACTGGGCCTCGATTCAAAAGCCCATCATTACGGGCCGCGGTTTCAACCAATGGATGGCACCCGCCCCCCCATCTACCAACGAACATGCGCCACGTGGGACCCTCTTCCAACGGCTATATTGCAACGGCTATGTTCCAGAAACCCTAGGGTGCCCTCAAGAGGTCACCTCCGGCTATCACCTATTACAGCCTTCGACAAAGCAGCAGCATGGGCCTTTGGCTTATCGATGTTGCACCCTCAAGTGACCGCCTCCGGCTGCCACCTATTATGGTCTTCGGTGAACAACTCTCACCAGAACCCTTCAAAAATCCGGCAGTATAAGCCTTCGGCTTGTCAATGTTGCCACTCATCAACGCATACTTGGATGAAAGCCTTCGAGCAGGCAGCAGTGTAAGCCTTCGGCTTGTCAATATAGCCACCCCTCAGGAGCTCATCAACACATCATAACTCCTTCAGCCCGAACTTGCCTTCGACCTAAAGGAGTGGGGGACTGGGATACACCCCTCGGGAATCACACATGACTCAAAAACAAAAATTCCCACATGCAAGAAACCCACAGATAACACATGTAGCCCTCGGGTGCATACACCATTGCACCCTTCGGCAAAGCAAAATGTCAGAAATTATCCACAGAGTCACTGACAACACATACGGATATTATTTACACCTCCCTCAGAAAACCCTCGACATGTGAGGGACTGAGGAAAGCCTTCTGCAGCCATACAGGTGTTATACTGCCCTCAGAAAGCCCTCGACATGTGAGGGACTGAGGGAGCCCCCGGCGAACATGCGAAGGTTGTGAAAACCATCCCTCAGAAAACCCTCGACATGTGAGGGACTGAGGGAAGCCTTCGGCAATCAGCAGAAAACAAGTTCCCCAGCAAAGGCACCCGGCGAGATGATGAAGCCTCCAGAAGAATCAACACATCTACTCCTTTTCCCTCAAGTACCTTTCGGCAAAAGGAGTGAGGGACTCCTGATGGAGTATATGGCCCAGGAACCCCCGGCCCATAGACTCCTACTTCTCCTACACAAGTCCATTGAGCCCAGAGAACATCTCAGGTCCAAGTGTAACGGCCCAAACCTCGAAATAGCTCAGAATACACATTGGGATGCCTTTGGCCTCCTTGGCTGAAGGCTCCAGAACTCACAGGATAGCCTTTTTTGGCATAAGAAGCTGCTGGGAGAAAACGGGGCGAAAACAAGAGCCATCGGCATTTTCATGCCCTCGGCATCGGAGAAGCCTTCGGCTGAACCAAGCCTTCGGCCACACAAGGGTCCCTGCCACATGGAGCCCTCGGCTACACAAGGAGCCCTCGGCTACACAAGAAGCCCTCGGCTGAACAAGCTCAATCATCGAAGATTCCTTTTGGGGACAGCCAACCACCGCATTTAATACCACGTCACATCCGCCAACCGCATTAAATGCGGTTGACGTACCACTGCCGGTGCCACCAAGCTGATGTGACCCTTCGGCCGTTGGATTACTGACACGTGTCCTCTCATCGCATTTATTGCTGCTATAAATAGCAGCCCATTTCTCCTTGTAAATCACAACCTACATCCCAACTCCACATCTCGAGTTCATTTAATAAAATCGACTCTCTCTCCTCCTATTTGCTCTGACTTCTCTCTAAGTTATTCCCACAATAACCCCTCGGATAAGATACCCCCCGGGTAGACTATCCATCAGGCGGATCTAGGAAATTTAGTTATTGGGGGCACCAAGTATGCAAAAGTGAGAAAAACTCAAATAATTATAAAATAAATTCAAAGATGCAAAAATCCAATGTAACCATGATAGAAAATATATATTACATTTTATTACAATTGTTCTCTACGATTTTTCATTTTTTGAAAGCGCTCCATCACAACTTCATTTGTAACTGTATCAAGCAAATCCTTTTTGACATAGCAAATAAGACAATCATTCATAAACTGGTCGCCAATCCTATTGCGCAGACTTGACTTCACAATTTTCATCCCAGAAAAGCATCGTTCAACGGTGGCGGTTGCAACTGGCAAAATCAATGCCAATTTAAGTAGTCGATACACCAAATAATATGAAAGACGCTTTTTGGTGTCCACCATCATTTTAGCAAGGTCGCCTAAGCTTTTTAGGTTAGAGAAGCGTTCATCACCAAGCACATCATTTAGATAGAGTTTTAGTTGATGCTCAAGAGTGTGTCGATCCTCATAGTCAAAGTCATCAGGATAAAACTCAGCCAATCTCATCAAATTCAGTGCGTCAAACCCACTAAAAGAGTCATTTGGACTCAAAGATCCCGTACATATGACCAACTCTGTATTCACCTCATCAAACCGGTCATTGAATTCTACAAGCTGCATATCTACAACTGTATAAAAGCAATCCACAAAATAATAATGAAAGCTAGTGGTATTACTTTTTTTCCGATGCCTCTTTGGATTAATGTAGTCTTCTTCCATCCTCAACATTGAAATGTCATGTTTGTTACAAAAATCAGAGACTTTTTTCAAAAGAGAACCAAATCTATCATTCCGAATCTCTTGCAATTGCTGCTTAGTTGACTTCACTAACGACAGAGCATTTAGAATGTCTTGATCCTTTCTTTGTAAAGCCAATGACAAAGAACTTGTGAGCCCCAAAATCAATAGCATCAATTGCGAATAAAACACAAAATCAAATGATTGCAAATAGACTAGAAGACCATGTGCCTGACGTCTTTTCACGTCATCTTTACCATCTTTTTCAACAAATTCAAGAACTTCAACAACAGATGCAAACAACTCGACCAAACGTAACAATGTTTTGTAATGAGAACCCCATCGAGTATCTCCAGCTCTTTGAAGCATTATCTCCTGATTCAAACCTTTTCCTGTACTAATCTCATTACTAGTAATGGATTCCTTCACCTTTTCTTGATGACTTTGACGAATCATATCTTTCCTTTTGCAAGAAGCGCCAACCACATTCAACAACAGAGATATCATATAAAAAAAATTCCCACCTCAAAATGTTTTTTGGCAACCGCCACAACAACTAATTGAAGCTGATGAGCAAAACAATGCACATAATATGCTGAACTAGTTTCTCTCAAAATCAAAGCTTTTAACCCGTTAAACTCGCCCCGCATATTACTTGCACCGTCATAACCTTGACCCCTAACCTTACTCAAACTCAACCCATGTTCAGCAAATAAAGCATCAATGGCACTTTTAAGAGATAATGCAGAAGTATCCATGACACGAGTAACACCAACAAACCTTTCTTTAATTATCCCACACTTGTCAACGTACCTCAGAACTACAGCCATTTGTTCCTTATCAGATGCATCACTAGACTCATCAATCATCAATCCAAAAACATCATTGCCAATTTCATTGAATATAAAGTTCAATGTTTCTCGCACAAAACAATTAGCAATGTCTTTCTGAATACCAGGAGACACCATTTGATTATTTCCAGGAGCATTTTTTAAAATGACTTTTCGTACAACCTCATTTTGATTTGAGGTATACTTTATCATTTCTAAAAAAATTCCTCTATTGTTAGACTCCTCAGTTTCATTATGACCACGGAATGGAAGCCCTTGATGCAACAAAAATCTAGAAACATCAATTGAAGCATTTAATCCGATGCGATACTCACTTTTTGTGGTCTCATTTTGCTTATGAAGAGCAACACTGATTGATTGATCTTGCTTCATTAAATCTTCACACCTTTCGAGAGCTTTATTGTGAAAGCTCTTAACAACACCAACATGGCCAGCTAATCTTTCAGTTTTATTCCAACTAGAAAAGCCTTCTGTTACAAATGCATCATTTCCTGCTTGATTTTCATAGTTATCTCTAAACAAATAACAACACAAGCAAAATGCTTTGTCCTCTTTTACACTATATTCTAACCAATTCCCGTACTGATCGAACCAGGCAGAATTAAAACGCCGCAATTTTTTACCAATAATTTTTTTAGGGAAATCATGGCCACGAGGTTGGCAGGGCCCCCTAAGCAAGTATTTTCTTCTCATCTCATCCCTTTGATTGGGATGATATGCTGAATTTTTTTTCCTTTCTGCGGGATCCCAAGGAAGATCATTCAAATCGATTTCTCTAGGCAGTGAAGGGGTGTTATTTGATACATTAGCACTTGAACTTTGCCCCGCATCCCCGCTATGATTGGAAGTAGGCGGTGATTTTCTTTTAAAGAATCCTGTTATCATTGTTTATCTGTCCAAACAAATTAAATTTTAAAAAATTTACTTAATTTACACAAAATACATATGTTTAATCTGGTCAAACAAAATTCCTATTAATTAATAAACTAATAAAGTAGAAGTCATATTTACACCCCAAGAGCCTAAAGTAGATTTACGAAATTCCTAATAAAGTAGATTCACACACAAAATTCAGAATTAACTAACAAGCAAAATTATTAGATACATAACATAGTTAAGATTAATGAAGCAAACTATTAAAAAATAAATGGTCAAAAGTAAGAAAATTTACTGACCTCAAAAGATATAGAGAATGACTAATCGGAAAGTTGAATCCAAGATACAAAGATAAAGAGACGGAGAAGATTGCAATACTACGTTGGCGGCAGAGGGTCGAATTTATTATCACAAAGCCGGATTAACCATTGATGCACTACTGCTCATTCTTTGTTGGCTTTGCTCTCCCAATTTGCACTTCGGCAGACGGAAGAAGGATAGGGAATTAGGGATTTGAAAAATTGAAAGTGAGGTCTTAGGTAGGTGGGCCGTATTACCTAAATGTGTATTGGTTCAATTGACTAGTCATACTTCTTTTTTAATGAGAGCTTCTATGAATTTAATTAAAAAAAATAAAATTGTAAAAAGATTAAAACTAAGTGGTACTGGTAGGATGTGGCCTGTGGGCCTTATCAAACTTCCACCATATCTGCATATGGCCGTATAAAACTTCCACCTAGCCTTATATAATTGAGTGTCAATAATGTATTGGGGGCACTTGTTTTCTTCCATTGGGGGCACACCTATTTATTTATTATATATATAGCTATAAATTACACTTAAAAATGGAAAGCCATTGGGGGCCTGTGCCCCCATTAAAACTAACGTGCGTCCGCCCCTGACCGCTAAAAGGTTGGATTATTAATTTCCATTTTCCCTTTAAAAAATGAGAGATTTTTTAATTTTTGATGAGTTCCTATTGGCTGCTCATAATCCTCCTACTTCATACATAGCCTGCTTCTTGCGCTAGTAACGACCGCAGACCAAAGTCGTCAAACCATTTGGCGGTTTTCATAACTAGGGTTTATTCCAGCAGTATTTTGGTAAATAGTTTTAATCCATCATAATTTCGTATATAATTTTTTATTCAACATTATTTTAGAAAAAAACTCGCTTCATTTTAGATCGTTAGCATTTTTTATTTCAACGTTTGTGGTTTCAATAATTAAGCATGTTCTATTGCGTGTATTACCATTAATCTTATTAATTAATTATTCTGATATTACCATTTATCTTTGAGCTATGCTATATTAACACATTGGGGTGGATTTAAGTAAAAAGTAGTTTTCCCATGAAAAGTGAGAACACCTTCTATCACTTGAAAATGGATGAATTAGATGAACTTTAAACACAAGAGACGATTTTAAAAAATGTGCAAACGTTTATACTATAAAGTTGATAGTTACCGATTAAAAGTGCACTCATGAGCTGAGTGTCAAAAAAGATTGTCAAAATTTTTCAGCATGTACACTTTTTATTTTGTACTGTATAACACTTTTGTACTGTATAACACTTTTGTACTGTATAACACATTTGTCACAATATTTTCAATAAAAGTTCTTGATAATTACAAAAATGTCACAACATTTCCAACTTAAAAATTGATCTCTTCCATCCATTTTTTCACATCAATGGCCAAGATTAATTCTTATTTTTCACCTAGGAAGTACTTTTTATTTGAACCAAACTCTTAACACATTTATGTATTTATACAACTTTTCAACTTTATTGTTTTTTTTTTTAAAGAACAAATTTTCCCCAACTATATACATTAACTTTTCACATGTTTTCTTAAACTATACGAAATATTTTAAGGAGTGTTTGCAGTTGATTAAAAAAAGCACTTTTCAGCTTTTGTCTTAAAAAAAGTTAAAAAGAGTGTTTTCAAATGACAGCTTCTGCTTAAATTAATCACTTAAAAGCTAAAAGCTGGAAGCAGGTGGAATGGTGCTTTAAACTGCTTTTCACTTTTTCTATTACACAAAAAGTACTTATTTTACCAAACACTACCAACTTTTACTTTTTCAGAATCACTTTTTCCTCAAACACTACCAACTTTTACTATTAATCACTTTTCCCAAAATCACTTTAAAAAATCACTTCTTTAAAGTTGAAGCAATTGACACTCCCTTAATGTGATGAAGTATATAATAATAAGCATGGAATTCTACATTCACTTGAGTTGTGCTTTGGGTCAACTAGTCCTTTGATCTTGAGCTCATTGTATTGAACACTGAAGATGATTCAATCTATACTAGCTCGATTCTACATATTTAGCACGATTAGGTCAATCTACTTACATTACACCGCGTATTAGTTCTAAATATCTTAATTAGAATTCCTCTAAAGATAAATCTCATAAATAACAAGCAAAAAAATGTAGCGCTTGCGCATCAATGTTCACATGATATAAGAGCATCTCCAATGGTAGAATGTGCACGGTGCATATGTGGCATGAGAGACAACCATATAAATATTAGCAAATAAATCATTTCTCTCCTTATTTGGATGATCTTATACAATTTTGGTATGTTTTGCCCTGCAATGTCAAATGCAATGTCAACATTTAGACGGTCTCCTTGACATTGTGGAGAAAAAGTTACCAAAACTGTATAAAATCATTCAAATAAGGAGAGAAAGAATTAATTTACTGATATTTATGTGGCTATCTCTCATGCCACATGTGCACCGTGCACATTTTACCATTGGAGATGCTCTAATGAATGCTGAAAGTTGACACAATACCACGATAAAAGATAGTAATTCCATAGCACAATAAACTTGTCTACCAGATGAAAGACACTGTATACATAATACATCATAATATTAATATAATAGAATATCTAACACCCTTATTACGTTACATCATCATCGACACTAAATTATATTTCAAGTTTTTATTTTTAGGATTTGAAGTACTAAACATTACTATATCGGGAATTTCCATTTTCGTTTCACTCTAACAATATGTGCATCAATGGTGACTACATATTCACGTACAATAAAAGTATCCAAACAATAGGAACAATTATGAGAAAGAAATCTAACTCCAAAACTATGTAGCATTTATGATGTTATTGATTCAGGGTTAATTAATAGGGGTGAAAGGAAACCCATAAAATAGATATGGAAAAAGAGAGATAACATATTAGGGTTCTTCAAGTCAAGAAAGTCTTATCTATGATTTGACGATGGTTGAGCACATTTTCCGCCTTGATCTAAGGGCATTAATTCCCATATCGTTAAGAACCTCCAAAGATAGCATATGAAGCACTTCATCATCTACCTCATGTATACAAAAAAAAAGTGGATTATCTTCCAAGTCCAAGGCGCTAATCCCGGCCAATGAACCAGTCTCTACTCTGTAACCCCAAAACTTCTCCACAATACAGTTTATCATCATCATCATTATCTCACGTTTTCAGAATGTATTGCTCTATGGTCCCAATACTGAAAACTCATATGCCTCAGAGTCAAATATTACTATCATATAAAGAGCGTTTTGTAAAATTGTTCATTGATATTTATTTTGAAATATATTTCATGATGCACTTATTTTTGTATTTGGTACTCATTATATAAATATGAAGTAAGTCATCTCTCTAAGAAAAGATAATACTTCATAATCTCATATATGTCACAACCAATCAACTATTAAGACACAAATCAAAAGACAAAGAACGATTCGAAAATGAGTTTACGAGACATCTTTATTCAACATGATTAGTAAAATAAAGGATAATAAACCAAATAAGGATGTTTTTAGTCATTTACTTAATTTTCTAGGCAAATTCATAATTGAACTATTCACTTAAATACACTCACATTCACCCATTGTCGTTGTTAACACAAGAAGACAAAAACATTCAAATGGAATCTATAATATAATATCAAGAGAAAATGCTAAAATTTCAATAAAACAAAACTAAGAAGTCTCGTTAGTTTGGAAATTTAGACACTATGTATCACAAGATTAGTTGAAGTTGCGAAAGAAGGATCTTTTCTTATGGTCTAAACGCCTTAATAGAACATATCAATATGAATGAAATGGATTTGAGCAATTTAACATGCTCTTAAGCGGCAGTGGAATGAAAAAATATATACCTAAATTTTACAAACAGTAGATTTCTATAACATTAGATTTAATAAAATTGAACCACTCATCATGCTATATTTTGAGAGCACAATTATCACAAGAACATGTAATTACTTCTTGGAGGATGTAAATTGAGCTTTGATCATACACCTCACTTATGACACACACTTTCTGTAATTACTTCTTGGAGGATGTAAATTGAGCTTTGATCATACACCTCACTTATGACACACACTTTCTACCAAGTGAGCTATGCCCCCCCCAACATTAAGAAACTCATATGAAAGACTATTTCACTTTGGCACGGAAAGAAACTAGATTCCCATGACAATGAACAAATTAAAAAGGAGAGATTTCAACGAATGTACAATCTATCAGCAATATAGGTGAAAAAGCCATACAAATTTGGGTAGAAAACAATGTAAATGCCTTTTAATAACAAATAATATATGCGTCCGAACTTTATGTTTTCATTTTGATTTTCACAAATCTTTATCCTTGATCATAACTACATAACTAATAATGATAAAATACATAGCAAATTTTAATTTTAGTGAAATATAACAAACACTACAAGAAAAATGATTTTGGGCATCGAAATCATAAATTATGTGCGATAAAATTTATTTTGTTGCATTTGATTAAGTGAGTGGGCGACAAATATTAAAATATAGCACTTCTTCTGTTTTTGACAAGTAGATTTTGGCATTGCACAATTCAAAAATTTGACAACAATTTTGAAATTTGCTGCACTAAAGTTAATTTTGTGCCACCAAAACTAATATCCGTCGTCCATATATCAGGAATGTGCAACAAGTTTCTTAAGTCTTGCTTAATTTGATTAAAATATCCTAGGGCCTATTCTTAACGAAAGCCTTAATTTTATACGGAGTATGGCGTACTTCGTGCTTCCTCTGTAGACTGATCGATAACTCCTCTTCTTCCACTTCATTGAATGTACCTTCCTCCTCCCATCTCTATGTCATTCATATCCGCTCTTCATCTCCTTTAACTTTTATGTCTGGTAATCCATAAATCAATCTATAAAAACGAATACCTATTCTATTAGCTACATATGCTATTCGATATGTTGATGGAACGTTGTTTTGATGTGAAATTGCATTGAGAAACCGTCTTAATTTTTTTTAAAAAGGTGGCTCTTTCTATATTTTCTCAATCTCTCGTTCGTGTTTCGTTGTTTTATCGTTTATTTGTCCGACTTTTTTTCTTAGAAAAAAGTCTTCACCGAAGTCTCACCATGTCCACCGGACCACCGTGTATTGAGCAGCTGGAGTAATCGTCGCCTCTCACCTTGGTTTACGCCATTTGCAATTACTTTTTCCTTCTCTATTTGCAATTTCTATGGATTCCCGTTATTTGAAATTGAGGTAAAGGCTTAAACTAGGCTTTCTGATTAATTTTGATATGGTTTTCATTTCAGTTCATTTTTTTGGATTAATTTGAGAATTGATATTGAGTTTGCTAATTGAGAATAAACCAAGAATTTTAAATAAATTAGTTGATTTATGGGCCACGATGCTTAGGCAACAACTTTGTGACGAAATTGATTTTGTTGCACAATGAAATGGGGAAGGAACTAGCCACCTTTGACAATGAAAATTTTCGTTGCACAAAACAATTTTTCATTCGATTGTATTTCTACGATAAGATTTTTGCATAAATTATAATCACAAAATTAAAATGAGGCTTATATTTTGAGATGAAGAGGTAAATTCATAAAGTAAAATTGTATTTTTTAGTAACTTTTGGAAGCCAAAAAAACTCTTTTATTCATTAATTGGGATGCGACATTTGCATTATTTACATCCTCTAACTTAACTTCATTTATTTGTTAATGTATTAATAGATTACATTTCACAAAATATTGTTAATTTTGTTCTAATGTAATTTTTTTTTATATTTTTTCCTAATGTATTTCAACTTTCCAGTGTATTTTTTTAAGTGTAATTTTAAAAGGCCAATTTTTTACAACTACACCTAAAACCAGAAGCCCAGGAGTCTAGCCCAATAGTCTTTGGCGAGCTGAAGCCGAGCCCGACATGGAGTCTAGCCCAATAGTCTGAACAAACATACATCCTCTAAATGTATCGGGTCTGAACCTTATAGGCCCACTATCATTCATTCGGTTTCTCTTCTCCGTTCCATTTCCTGGCGAGCTCATCATCAATTTTCTTCCACTGGCCTGAATTCAAGTCTTAAACCCCAAACAACAAAATAAAAAAGATAGAATAACAAAATAAAAAAATCCTTCTCCCATGGCAATTCCTGCATTTCAAGGCCTCTCCTGCAGAACCCAATTCATCTTCCTCCGCCCACTTCCGTACTGTATTCTTAAGGTCTGTCTTCCATTGTCTCTTCAACCACTAAGCTTATTTTTACCTTTTTTGTTTATTACTTTATGAACATTTCAGTTTCAGGCAAGGAGTTGCAGCTCTGTTGCGTCTGTTCAGTCATTAGCTGAACAAATAAATGGTTCCAGGGAAGAAAGTAATGTCCTGAGGAGTTATTCCGAAGGTCAAGGTAGGTCGTTTGGGGGTATTTACTCTTTTTTTTTCCTCTTAAAGATCATTCATGACTGTTTACGGTATAGTGGGCGACTAGGCGGAGTAGCTTCTGTGAGTATTTTCACCAACTATTGCTAGTAATTAGACAAAGGAGGATGATTTGTGTTTGATGTAGCAGGTGATTACTATAGAAATACTTCTGAATGGAAGAAATTGAGTTCTGAAGAGCTAGGTATACGGACCTCAATGATCTCAAAATCTACTAGATTGGTCCTTAATGGCCTTAAGCAAAAAGGTATTATTTCGCATTTCCGGGGAAAAATAAGGACGAAAGTTAAATAATTTTCAATAGCAGAACTGGTTTCCCTATATGCAATTATGCACCTCAGGTGAAAGAGAATGTGGACATTGTTCTTATATTTCAGGATATGATGTCTACCTTGTGGGAGGTTGTGTTCGAGATCTTATTTTAAAGAAAACTCCTAAGGATTTTGATGTCATAACTTCGGCTGAGCTTAGAGAGGTTTGTCTTTTCTTTTCCATGAATAGTGTGTGACACCATTCACATGTAAGTTTTGGTAGCTTTGACTATGAGAGAGGGAGGGAGGGGGGTGAGAATGGTGAAAGCTTATGTTGAATCTTTTCAGGTGCTGAAAGCATTTCCACGCTGTGAAATAGTTGGAAGGAGGTTTCCAATATGCCATGTGCATGTAGGTGATGTCATCATAGAGGTGATTTATCTGAAAAAACTCTTTTTTCCCCTCATTTTAACTCCATGAATTCAACAGCCTTCATTCATCTTCTAAATTGTCTCTTATGATGGGTTGGAGAAGGTTTCAAGCTTTACAACCAGAGGAAGGAAGTTTGGAAGGAATTCATACCATGGTGCTAGAAAGCCTCCAAAGTGCAATGAAGCAGACTATATGCGCTGGAAAAATTGCTTGGGCAGAGATTTTACGATAAACGGGTAAAATGATTGTTATTTTCTTTATAATCTTTTGACCAATTTACCCATTTTGCATCTTCTCACGGAATGTGTTTTTTCTAGATTGATGTTTGATCCATTTGCAAGAATAATCTATGACTACATGGGTGGACTCGAAGACATTAGAAGGGCTAAAGTCTGCATGTATCTCTTACAGTTTTTGTTTTTGTCACTAAAGATCTGTTTCTATGGAACGGTTTAGGAGGGGATGGCTTTATAGAGGTTTGGAGGGGAAGGCTTGAAATTATTAGTCTATATGTTCATGTTGATTTACTTTGGAGGTTTCATAAGTATCGAGTGATTAAATAAATATGTGATCATATAACACTCTAACATTTTGATCATCTTTAGTTGGTATTTAGAGATGCTCTTTTTATAAGCATATACAAACTCTAAGACCTTAAAATCCTTCCCCTCAAGATTTCTCCATTAAAACAGATCCTAACAGCCTTGTTCAATTATACTACTGTAGTACTGTTCTCAAATTATTAACTCTACATATGTAGGTACGAAGTGTGATTCCTGCAGGTACCTCATTCATGGAGGACTGTGGTGAGCATGAGTATACATTTCTCTTCTTTCCCTTGTTGTAAAAGACATTTTAACTATTATCCTATTATTCCTACACGGTTCTACCCATGTAAATCCGCAATGAACTTCAAGCTCATTCGAACATTCCATACAGCACGCATCTTGCGTGGGGTGAGGATAGCAAGCCGTTTGGGCTTTCGTTTTTCACGAGAAACCGCACATTTTGTAAAAGAATTTGGATCCTCACTGTTAAGACTTGACAGGGTATTGCATCTTCCTTATCTTATATAATAATGGATGTTTTGACATACACATGTGAGTGTCCAACTGGGATGACTTCTAAAAATGACTTTGCTAAAACGCACTAATATTGTGCTCTTTTATTGAAAAAAGTGCTTCTAACATTACAAACACTAAAACAATGAGTCAATTCCCTAAATAGGACTAAAAAGTGGAAAAATTGCACAAATAGGACTACATTTTTTAAATTCCCTTAATAGGACTATTTATGTGTGTTTGGACAAATATACCCTTGTAACTTGTGAAATGTTTTAATTAATAATAAAATCATAAAAAAATTAATAAAAATCGAAAAAAATACTAAAAATCGTAAAAACAATAATATAAAATTAATAAAAATATTTTTTTAAAAAAGTAAAAAAAAAAAAATTTTTTAAAAAAAATAAAAAATAAATAAAAAATCATAAAATTAAAAAAAACACATTACCACCCCTGCCACCCCCCAACACCACCATCTCCCATCACCGGACAAAAATATGCCAACATTTTAAATTATGCCATAATGATGGCATAATCAATGAAAATGTTGGCATATTGAAGAGTAATTATGCCATCTTTTTGGCATTTTCAGAAAAATATGGCATTTTTTTACCAAAAGTGGAAGAAATTTCACCAATCGGAGGTGGTGGTGCTGGGAGGCGGCGGGAGGCGGTGAGAAAGGTATCCATAATTTTTTTTATTTTTTATGGGTTTTTACTATTTTTTATTATTTTTTAAAAAAATTAAAAAAATAAAAAATTAAATTTTTTATTTTATAAATGTTTTATAATTTTTTTTTAATTTTTTTACGTTTTTTAAATATTTTTTTACGTTTTTTGTGATTTTATTATGAATTAAAGCATTTCATTATGAATTAATACTCTTAGGGGTATTTAGGGTAGAAAATCAATGTTTAGTCCTATTTAGGGAATTTTAAAAATAGTAGTCCTATTTGTGCTTTTTAGGAACTTTTTAGTCCTATTTAGGACAATTTCCGTAAAACAATAATGATTTTTAATTTAGCAAAATTACTTCATTTCAACAAAACTTGCAACAGATTGGTTTTAAAATATATGGAAAAGTGCTTCTTATCCCTTTCGGAAGTCATCCCAAATGGTCTCCAGTCATTTCCTTCATTATTATCTATTTAATAAATCCTTTGGTCCCTTATAATGCAGGGACGCATACTAATGGAGATGAATTATATGCTAGCATATGGGTCTGCAGAAAAATCATTAAGACAACTGTGGAAGTTTGGAATTTTAGAAATTCTTCTACCACTGCAAGTATAGACACCCCTCTCAGTCTGTTAAAGTCAATCAAACTATACATGTATATCAAACAGTGTTACATAGTCACATCTGTCATAACTGTAAACTTGCAGGCTGCTTACTTTGTTTCCCAAGGTTTTAAAAGGCGTGATAAGAGGTCTAACATGCTTCTGGTAATTGAAAATGTGTTGTTTTGATCTTTCCCATCTCATATAGTTTTGATATGCTATGTGCATTAGCCCTCTCACAGGATAAAGCCAGTTTTGATGATATATACTATATGCTTACATAGACATTGTGATAATATCTTAGACTCTGCATTGTATTGCTTATTTGATTTTTTAATATATTTTCTCTATTTTGGTGCTGAAGTCTATGTTTTCCTGCCTGGATAAACTTTTAGCACCTGATCGGCCTTGCCACTCATGTTTATGGTAAGAAAACATTTCTGTTGACAATTTTTGCATATCATGCTACACATTTTAGCTGAGCATGAGATTGTGTTGTCTACAGGATTGCAATCTTAGCGTTCCACAAAGCCTTGTCGGATAGACCTCGGGATCCATTGGTGGTAGCTGCTTTCAGTATTGTTTTACACACTGGTGGGTCATCTTCTGATGCATTAGGCATAGTGAAGAAGATCTCACAATCACACGATACAAGGTTTCCTGAGCTGTCTGTAGATCTCAATCTGAGCTCAGATGAGGAGCTATTGAATGAGGTCATGGATCTATCGGTTGATGTGAAATGTACACTACAGCAGATGTCAGATGAACGTTTTGTTTCCAGAGCGCTAATTAAGTATCCACAAGCACCCCAGTCCAGTATGGTAAGCTAAAGCTCTAACAACATATTCACAATTTTTTACTTTTTTTGTTTTCTTCTATAATATATTTCAAAATTTTATGAACATGTTTGGTGGTTCTATTTTTTGTATTTGTCATCTGTTTTTTTATTATTTGTTACACATTCCTTTTTGGGAAGCTTTACTACTTGTCCACTTTACATTATTCTTATTTTTTATCTTCTCTTTCTTACTTTTTCTAGTTTTTTATCACCTATCCTCTACTACTTGCTACTGCCATTTTCATCTTAATCTTAGTGAAAACTCTATAGTACTCCCTCCGTCCCTGAATGTTGTTCCAATTGCGGATTACGAAGATTGACCGACGATAAAGTTAAATGATCCCTGTGAAAACTCGGATTATTTTTAGTAAATAAAATTTACATATTAAGAAACTACATTAAACCCGCTACAAAGCCTGCAAAAAAAAATCAATTTTCATAAAGTTTTGATACAAAAAGTAAGAGTTTAAGAGTGATTTAAGTTGACTCTCGAAAAGCGAAATGGAAGTAAATTTAGGGACAGAGGGAGTAATAAATAAAAAATAACGCATTATGATTTATCTCATTTATTATGAAAAAAGGCGTTCTTTGTAAAAGATCTAATTGCTCTATGGAACATTATCAATTGTGAACCCATGGTTTCTAAAACAATGGAATTACTGAATTTTCGCTGCCAACCATTTTCGATGTACTACAGGAGTTAAACAAATGAGAATGCTATTTTGAAACCTGAAAAACAGAAAACATGTTTTTATCAATTACATTTTCTCATTTGTTTCTGAAAAGTGAAAAAAGAACAGACAATTGAAAACAGAACATCATCAAGTGACACCTTCGTTTCATGATTGAGTGAAAGCAACATGATTCTAAATTTCAATCTTTAGTCTCACATGCCCATTGTGTTTATACTCTATAATTGTGTCGTTGGCAGGTATTTATTTCACCGGCACTATTACAGAAGGTGTGTTCAATTTTTGAGTGTGTGAGAAGAGTAAAGGAAAATGGTCATGCCCAAAGACGAGGCAGCAAGATTGACTATGATGCCCTTGCATTAGGACGACTGTATGAAGTTAGACATATATTTGCGAGAGTGGTTTTTGATACCGTATATCCTCTGCAACTCAAACATGACAATTCCACAGACACCAATCTTGATGTACCAAAATCGGCAGTAAATGCCATCGGGCCGAATTGCAAAGATAGCTGAAAAACAGCTATCTTCAATTAGATTTTAACAAGTGTTATCGCTGTAATGCTCTTGCATGACCAATATTTAGTCAAGTACTCTTTCGTTTCAAGAAAAGTCATGTTTGTAATGCCTTGTTAGAAGCTGTTCACTTCACCTGATCTGAATGTTTCTGATCTGAATTTTTTAAGTTATAATCTGATCTGATCTGAATTTTTTTGATCTGATCTGATCTGATCTGAATCTTTCTGATCTGATCTGATCTGAATCTTTCCGATCTGATATGAATTTTTCTGATCTGAATAAAATAAGAATAAGCAATAAGTAATAAGAGATATTACTTTTGAACGTTTGGAATTTTAGAAAATTCTTCTACAGTTCTACCACTGCAAGTATAGACACCCCTCTCAGTCTGTTAAAGTCAATCAAACTATACATGTATATCAAACAGTGTTACATAGTCACATCTGTCATAACTGTAAACTTGCAGGCTGCTTACTTTGTTTCCCAAGGTTTTAAAAGGCGTGATAAGAGGTCTAACATGCTTCTGGTAATTGAAAATGTGTTGTTTTGATCTTTCCCATCTCATATAGTTTTGATATGCTATGTGCATTAGCCCTCTCACAGGATAAAGCCAGTTTTGATGATATATACTATATGCTTACATAGACATTGTGATAATATCTTAGACTCTGCATTGTATTGCTTTTTTAATCAAGCATGTTATTTACAGACATATTTCGTTTGTAAATATTAAACACTCCTTAAATTATAGGAGCACCAAAACAGGTGCTTTGCATCCACACGAGTCAAAATTACTTCACATCATAGTTCAGCTATTAGGATTTAGGGCAATCATGGTTGGGTAAAAAGCAGATTTGTACACATCTGATGTGTTTACTTCAGTCTTCACTGGCATTAGAGTTCTGCTTGTATGTTTGTGGTAGAGTAAACATGCCCTTGATGCAAATGGTTAAATGATTAAGATTGGGAACCTATTTTGGGCACTGGTCAGCCTGACAAAGTTCTCATTGAAAACTCTCTAATTTGACCTTTTGATCTTTTACCTTAATTTTGTTTGTCGATGATAAAACTTGTGATGCTGAATATACTTCTTTGAAGTGAAGAATAAAGACAGTTTATCTCATCCTTTTCAGATAAAGTTGTACAACTTTAACAAATAATACAGCACACTTTTGAGCAGGGGTGGACTAGGGCCGGTTCGGGCTTGGGCCCGGCCGGGCCTCGGTTCATTTTTTTTGCCTTTTCCTAATTAACCCCTAACCCCCCCCCCCCCCCCCAAACCATCTCAAATGACCCAAAATACCCAGCCCAATCCAAAACTTGAAAAAAATTCAAAAAAATAAAATAATATAAAATGGCCCGGACCAGGCCCGAACCGGCCGGACTGGTTCACGTTTTGAGGGAACGAGCCCGGACCGGAACCCCAGCGGGTCGGGCCTACCCGAACCGGTCACTGACCGGGCCACTGGGCCGGGCCGGGCCGGAACAGTGCCGGTTCAGGCCGGTTCCGGGTCGGGTCACCCGGCCCGAGTCCAACCCTACTTTTGAACGTTTTGAAATGCCAAATATTGATTAAGATTATTTCAAGATAAAGTCGTTTATTCGAATGCCATTATTTCAGACTTCTAAGCATAATGGATTTCAATGTCTTGACAGTTTTTTTGCATAATGAGGGTTGAGAAGTAACATTTTTCTTTTAAAGGCACGGGTCAGGAGTCTAAGACAATTTATTTAAATGTCTGGATAGTTTTGGCTTTGAGAAATTGAGAGAAGAGACAAGCATTATTGTGAATTGGAATGTAATAAGCTGAATTGTTTTTTAATGTGTTTTACTAAATGAGATGAGGGCTTTGAGAAATTGAGAGAAGAGACAAGCATTATTGTGAATTGGAATGTAATAAGCTGAATTGTTTTTTAATGTGTTTTACTAAATGAGATGAGAAGTACCATAGATTTTGCAATTGAAAATTTTGGTTAAGTTATCTTATTGTCTTGTACTCTTGGCGTTATAGAGATGAAGGGGAATTTTGTTTGTGTGTTAATTGTGAGGCATCCTATGAATGCTTTCATAAAAAACTTTGTAAATTAAATTCAACCAATCAACTAGTGCAATTCATTCTCTCATTAGTGTACCACTTTCTCTCTATTTTTTTTATGTAAGACGTGAACGATTTAAATATAACAAAATATCTTTTTAACAAAAAAAGTAATGTACAAACTATACATGCTCGTTTGATGGATACAAGATTATCATATACGGAGTATTGAGTATTTTTACACTTCTGTAATGTACACATAAATACATAACTTTTAATAGAATGTTGACAGATGACACGCCGGAATTTGAGAAAGTTTTATCTTTGACAATTATAAGTCCTACTAGAGCAATTGTTCGTGTTGATTTATGTCCTTACTAAAGTGAATCATTACATTATTCATTGTAATTGAAATAAATGTAATATCATACTATCATAGCAATAAAAGTTATAACTTACAATCAATAAATGCTTTTGATTATTGGGCCTTAAGTCGATCTCTTGTTGGATTTGAAGCTTTTGGTCTTTTGCACCAATCCTACTCAAAAGTTCAAACTAGTCTTATACTAGACTTTTGCAATAATATGTTCGGTGCATATGCGAAATGTAAGAGATAGGCCCGTAAAAACAAATCAATGATAGTTCCCTCTCTTTCTTTTTCATAGTTTATATGTTTTTATTAACTTTTTATCAATAATATCAAGCACAATGTCTACAACTAGACACTATGAAAATAAGTTGAATTGTTTTTTAATGTGTTTTACTAAATGAGATGAGAAGTACCATAGATTTTGCAATTGAAAATTTTGGTTAAGTTATCTTATTGTCTTGTACTCTTGGCGTTATAGAGATGAAGGGGAATTTTGTTTGTGTGTTAATTGTGAGGCATCCTACGAATGCTTTCATAAAAAACTTTGTAAATTAAATTCAACCAATCAACTAGTGCAATTCATTCTCTCATTAGTGTACCACTTTCTCTCTATTTTTTTTATGTAAGACGTGAACGATTTAAATATAACAAAATATCTTTTTAACAAAAAAAGTAATGTACAAACTATACATGCTCGTTTGATGGATACAAGATTATCATATACGGAGTATTGAGTATTTTTACACTTCTGTAATGTACACATAAATACATAACTTTTAATAGAATGTTGACAGACGACACGCCGGAATTTGAGAAAGTTTTATCTTTGACAATTATAAGTCCTACTAGAGCAATTGTTCATGTTGATTTATGTCCTTACTAAAGTGAATCATTACATTATTCATTGTAATTGAAATAAATGTAATATCATACTATCATAGCAATAAAAGTTGTAACTTACAATCAATAAATGCTTTTGATTATTGGGCCTTAAGTCGATCTCTTGTTGGATTTGAAGCTTTTGGTCTTTTGCACCAATCCTACTCAAAAGTTCAAACTAGTCTTATACTAGACTTTTGCAATAATATGTTCGGTGCATATGCGAAATGTAAGAGATAGGCCCGTAAAAACAAATCAATGATAGTTCCCTCTCTTTCTTTTTCATAGTTTATACTCCCTCCGTCCCTAATAACTTTGCCAAGTTTGACTGGCACGGTGATTAATAAAGTAAAAACTATGTTGTTGAGGTTTGTGCAGAGGAGAGAGAATTAACTGGAACCACAAATTCTTTACTTAAAAGGGAAAGTGGCAAAGTTAGTGGGACATCCAAAAAAGGAAAGTTGGCAAAGTTATAAGGGACGGAGAGAGTATGTTTTTATTAACTTTTTATCAATAATATCAAGCACAATGTCTACAACTAGACACTTTTCTTGATATTGTGGACAAAAACTTACTAAAAACATATATGACCTTTCAAATAAGGAGAAAAATATTAAAAAAGGAGAAAAATATTTTGCTTACTAATATGTATGTGTGAATATCTCTCATTTCACATGTGCACCGTGAACATTTTGGAACTAGAGATGCTCTTACGCTACAAAAGTCAACCAAAATTGATAAAACTAACTAGTGTCAGTTAAACTTATTTCAAGTAGATAACTCAAAGGGAAAACAATAGCAGATTAAATCATATTAAAAGTAGGAGCTTATGTTTGGTTGACCTTATGTTTCCAAATTAGCATTATTTTCTTCTATAAATATTAAGGTGGAAGGGTTGTGTTAGTTCTTTAACTTTTTATGACATTTCAACTAGGGGTGGGCAAAGTCCGAGTCAGTCCGGATAATTAAAAAAAAATTCAAGAACCACCGACTCCATTTAGCGGGTAGGTTCGTCTGGGTATACCAAATCTTGAAATATGAATCGAACCTTACCTGCCCTGTTTGAAACGGGTCGGTTCGGTTCGAGTTCTCGATTCTTTTTTTTTTGTGAAAAAAATCGGCTATGCTAGCAAAGTTTCTAGTAAGTTATAAAATTCTCAAACTAATTAAGTATTAAAATAAAACCATTATATAGTATAAATTCCAAATAAAAATATAAATTAACATTTTAAATTAGTTAATAAAATATCTTACAACAAATCTATAAATTGAACGGCACACAACCACCTAAATTAAAATTTTAATCCGTATTCATAAACTAAAGAGACAACATTACAAAGTCACAAAAAATTAAACTAGTTATTACTATACATGTGTCTAATAAAATAATTTTAATCTTATTAAATATTAAAATATAAGTAAACATAAGATATTAAAACGCATATGTCACACTTTATTAAGTAAGCTAAGAGTCTTTGTAACAAAAAAAAAATATTAAAACAAAAGTTTGATGCACTTCGAATAGATAATTGAGGAAAATAATTTACGATTTTAGATGAACTTGCAAATTCTTTTCAATAGACTGATCAATTTCTTTAATTGAAAGTATTTGTCTAGACACAAGAACATGAAGAGCTCACGTGTGTTGTTAAAATAGTATTTTAAAACGGTTTGGTTCGGGTACCCGTTTTTTTTAATTTTAAGACCCGTTCGGTTCCTAAGTTTTTAAGGACCCGCCCCGAACCGTTTGGGTTTTTTTAAATTAGGATCCGACCCGAACCCGTCTCGAACATGTATTACCTGCCTTGACCCGCGATTCCTGTACCCGTTTGTCCACCCCTAATTTCAATGCATTTAACTATTTCAAATTAGGGACCAAGCACAAAAACAAAACTCATTAACCAAACCAAATCAAGCAAGCCCATAGAGAGAACTTTGCATAAGTATGCCATGATTGGTACATTCACTCTAATTGAACTCAAAAGCCAATTTTGATACGAATCACCTTTGATCCGACATCACTCGTGGCTATTGTCTCAACATCCTCGTCTTGTGACAATAGCTATTTCAGCAACTAGAGTCTCAAATGGGCATGTCCCATAGGTACTGTATCTATCACATTTTTACGGTGGCTCAGACACAATATCATACTTCTTTCTTCCTTAAAACTTTATCAACATTCCTTATTTGAATGTGTCATTAACATTGCCACTTTCTCTTTTAAATAAATACTTTGTGGTTCCAGTTAGTTCTCTCCTCTGCACAAGTCTCAACCACACAACAATTTTTACTTTTTTTAAAGACAACAATTTTTACTTTATTAATCCTTGTGCTAGTCAAATTTGGCAAACTTTTAGGGGACGGAGAGAGTATTGCATGTCTGCATGCTAATTTAAGACACATCAATTATGATACTTGGCATAGATTTATGCATTTAGACGTGTTGCCTAAGTGTCCTATTGATCATAATCATAAGTGTGAAGTTTATGTGAAAGCCAATAAAGCTAGAAAACTTTTTCAAACTATCTCAAGAGACACATGACCGCTATATCTCATATACACATATCTATGTGATTTTATATAAATATGATGAAACTAGAGGTGGAAAAATGTATTTCATTACCTTAATTGATGATAGCACTAGATATCGCTATCGGTATTTGCTAAGCAAGGAATTGATGCTTTTAGGCATTACAAAGATATAGTTGAAAATCAACTTAGTAAGAAAATCAAGACACTGAGAAGTGATAGAGGTGGTAAGTGTGAATATTCCTTTGCATGATTTTGGTTAGAAAATGGAATTATTCATCAAGTAATCGCTTCTTATATGCCTCAATCGAATAATGTAGCCAAAAGAAGCAATATGACTTTAAAGAATATGGTTAATTTCATGTTAGTAAGATCTCGTGCACCAAACGACTTGTGGGGGGATGCTATCCTAGCTACTAATTACATTCTCAATCGAATGCCCCACAAGAAAACTCTTAAAATTTCATATGAGTTATGAAAAAGGACACAACAAAGTTTTAATTACTTAAACATATGGGGATGTCTAGTTAAAGTAGTTATTCCTAAACCTAAAAGAACGAAGCTTGATCCGAAGACTATTGATTGTGTCTTTTGTTTGTTATGCACAAAATAGTAGTGCATATAAATTTTTTGCCCATAAATCCAATAATATGGACGTGGGCGATTTTTTGTTTGATATGAAGTCACGAGAACACTAGAAGGGTTGGTATTGTCGCAATCCCAATACATTGTGAAAATGTTTGATAAGTTCAAGAAGTATAATATCAAACCAATGAGAACTTATTTTGAATCAAGTGTTCACCTAAGTAAAAAAAATAGGAGTGAAAGTGTATCACGAGATGACTCTCCTCGAGTCATAGGCAGCTTAATGTATGTCATGAATGTCACGAGACCCGACATAGCTCAAGTTGTGAATAAGTTAAAAGTCTCTTTTCACATAACCGAGGTAAAGAACATTGGAAAGCACTTATACGAGTACTTGAACATTTGATGTACACCAAAAAAATTGGATTACATTTTCGAAATTATCCAATGCACTAGAAAGGTTACCGATGCAAATTAGATATCCGATTCCAAGGACATTAAATCCACAAGTGTATATGTGTTTACACTTGGAAGTGATGCTATTTCGTAGAAATCTTCCAAAAAGACTTGTATAGCAAGATCTACCATGAAAGTTAAATTCATTGCCTTAGATAAGGCCGAAGATGAATTTGGATGGTTGAGAGTTTTTTTGGAAGATCTTCCTTGCTGGGAAAAGTCTGTCCCTCCAATATACATTCATTGTGACAACCAAACTGCAATTGGAAAGGCAAGGAATGCAGTTTATAATAGTAAGTCTAGACACCTTCGTCGTAGACACAACACCGTTAGAAAAGTAATAAATATAAGATCATCTCTCTTGACTATGTGAAATCAAAGGAAAGTATTGCAGATCCGCTAATCAAGCCACTCCAGAGAGTGATGGTTGAAATGTCAAGAAGAGTGATGGGCCTACGGCTAATGATCACTTAAAGTCCATGGGGAAACCCCACCTATTATTGAGAGTGCCTCGTAATTAGGTTCAAAGGGAAAACACAATTTTGGGATGGCTCAGGTGGTACTAGTCAAGATATATAGTACACCCATGCCATGAGCACTTAGGGTAAATTACGCTTTTAATGGTCTCTACATCTTGATATGTTCGAGTAAGGGATAACATGATACCTTCTATAGAGACCACCTATGCTGGTGGAAGAAGGCCGTTTCTATGAGAGTCTATAGTACGAGATAAATCCTTCGGTGCACTATAAACTCTCTAAAGCACTGGCTGAACCAGGAGGTGTTCAAGGTTGAAACGAACACAAACGTGAGAATCAAACATGCATCTGAATCTCTGTGTGTTATTCATTGTCTAGGTTTACGCAACGGTTGGCGGTTCAAAGCAAAGTGCTACCGATTGTCCAGTAAATCCGATGGATATACACTAAGGTAGGTTCAAAGTTTCAGGACTACCTAACCCTATGCAGAGTTCCCATCTTCCTTTGTCAAATCTTGTCTGTTTATGTCTTAAGGTAATTTCTCATTCATGTGGGGGATTGTTGGAAAAATGGTTTTACAAATTATATATTATTTGTAGAAAATCATTTTGAAATGAATGAGCAATTGTATCCTGAAATTCTCTCCGAAGCAATGTTCGTGTAGGACTTGTCCCGCGCCACCGCCGCTGTTCGGCTGGCTAGACAGGTCGGGTCAGGTTTCGAGTACAGGTGGGTACTTGCATGGCTTTAAGACAAACATTATTTTTATACAAATTATTTTCGGATAAAGGCAACTTTAAGAGAAGGGTCACTACCTTGTCTTAACAGGCTCCTTTTGGGATAGTGTCTCCTGGCCAGAGCATATAAATCCCACTAGGAGGCCTGCATTTTTCACTTGATAAGAAGTATGAAAATGCTCAAAGCTTTCTTAATATTCCTCATCCAAATTCCACCACTTTAGTGCTTCATTTGGTTCGCCGGTGTCCTTCGGGAACGTAGAAACTGCTCTATCCTGGGAGACAATTGCTACTTGTGTTGTGGGCAAATTCATCTTTAGGAGAGAATGATTCATTGGGATCGGTTTCATACTTTCATCCAAAGTAATTTTATTTACTTTCTATTTATTTAATTAATGCATGTAGATTTATATGATTTTTGAATAACACTATTCACTCGGATTCACAAAAAAATCCGGAGAAAGATCCTCGCACACCGACTACATAAACTCGATCAACACCTATAAATATATAATATTTCCTCTATTTTTACTACTTGTTGAATATTTCTTTTTGAGAAGTTTATTACTCCCTCCGTCTCGCTAAGAAGTTCCCGGTTTGACCTACAAGTAGTGGCTACACACATATTAAGAAAATAAATTTACTAGGATGGCTTGTTTTGACACCATTTTGGCACTGTTTGACACTGTTTTGATGTAGATAACTCTCCATTTAAGGAAATGTGAACTTCTTTTTGGTACTGCTAAAAAGGAAAGCGAGAACTTCTTAGCGGGACGGATGAAGTATTATTTATCTTTTTTTGGAACATTCTTATAAACCTATTATAGTATATGCTCATGTTAATGCCAACATCCTTGATTTGGGATGAGACTCGAACCTGCGACTTCCTCTTTGGGAGATCAGCCCATCAGACCATAAGGTACTTGACAAGGAGTATTATTTATCTCCGCTTTCCTTTTCAATAACTTTTTTCTAAAGAATACGCTGTACGCCTGTACATTCATTCATATCCTAACTTTAATTACTCTCACTTTTTTATGTTTGTTTTCCTTCTTTTTCATTACCTTCCTCCGCCACTCACTTATTACATTTCTTAATTAATACACGATCTTTCCAACTTTTTCAATTAAACAAAAATTTAGACCACACTCTATAATGTCCATACTGTTTTAACTTTACTCAGTAAAAGACTTAAGTAGGGCACTTAGAGTTCGTTTGTAACTCCTATTTTCAGTTTAGTGGTCTTATTAGCCAATTGTTTCATTGATCCCTTGACTTTTGATATAACGTGCTGAGTTAGATAATACTTCGTAATTAAAATTAAAATAAGTAATGTTGAAGTTACTTTTTTGCTAAATTAACTGAAATTTGTGTAGATGATAATTTTAGTTCTTTCGAATAATTTTCTCTTAGTTAGATTAACAAAATATCTTTTAAATGTATATTTTCTCATAATTCAACGGATCTAGTTAATATAACAATTCCAGCTGAAATCTCATTAATTCCAGCAGATTTAGTCAGTTCAATCAATTCTAATGTTATAAAAATGAGCCCTTAATAAAGAACACAGGGAGTAAGATGTTTTAGTAAAAAATCAGAGAGTATAAAAGTATTAAGGATGTTTTTATTTGGATTGAGATTTTCTAATCTGAACTAATCTGATTTAGTTTTGTAAATTTCTGATCTGTGTATATTTTATAAATATTCAGGTTTAGTCTGATTTGTGAAACCCATCAGACTCATTTGATAAATTTTACTCCGTACATTTTTTATTTCATTAAAATAAAAGTGTTTGGTTTTTCTTACGCCGAGTTGCAGTTATTACGGGGTTCTACGATTGACTCTATTTTCTTCTCAGATGATTTTCTCACTCGTCTTCTCATCATCCTGCGATCCTTTGTAATTTATCGAGTGTTTCATCACCAATTGGTCTCTACAAACGTATGTAAGATAAAAATCCAAACCCTAGATTATATATAATGGATGAAGAATGCAAAACGACCGCTTTTGTAGACGTAGAGGAAGGTGAGATCTCGGATTCAGCTTCGGTTGAAGAGATCTCTAAGGAGGCTTTCAATAAGCAGGGAGACCCTTCGCCTCCCATTTCTTCTGCTTCTAGTACTGCCGCTACAGCTGGGAAGGCGAATTCGAATGGCAATGTTGCGAGTGACCCGAAACCTGCTCGTGTTTGGACAATGAAAGACCTGTATAATAACTATCCGATCTCGAGGGATTACGCTAGGGGTTTATATAATTTAGCTTGGGCTCAGGCTGTTCAAAATAAGCCTTTAGACGAGCTATTCGTGATGAAGAAATCTGGGGCAGATGCTTCGGATAAGGGGAGCGGTGAGGAGAGTAAGAACGATGCGATTGTGATTGATGTAGAAGATGGTGTTAAGGAAGACGAGGAGTTGGAGGAGGGTGAGATCGATTTGGATTCGGAGGCTTTTGAAAACGGGGATTTGAAGGAGGTTACTTCGGTGGCAATGGTAGTGGGTGATGCTGAGGAGAAGGTTAATTTGATTAAGGAAGAACTACGTAGTCTTACTGTAGAAGAAGCATGGAAGTAAGTAGACATCGTTAAATCTGTTTCTCTAAGAATAATAATCCAAATAAAAAGATTATGTGACAACCAGAGTGGTCTTATGGTGATTAACAATGGTATTTGATTTGTTCTGTAGACCATTCAATGAAGCCTGCTCCAAATTGCAAAGATTGTTGGATAGTTTGCACGAAATTGTTTCTGAGAATTCATTATCCGAGAATGAAGCTTTGGCTGAATTATTTTTGACTGCCATTCGAACTGCTATAGCTGTATGACATCCAATATTACCTTAATCCTTTTTTTTTCAATTTATAAATGGAACAACTGTCAAGCTTAAACTTTACAAATACTGACATAATTCCTGTAATTGTGTTGGTATGGCTACGTAGTCCTTTACATGAAGATGTGGCTAAGTGTTTTTCATTTTTAGGTGCTGTACTCTATGAAACAGGCGGAGAAAGAGAAACATAAAGACCCCTTATCCAGGTTTTATTCATTTTATTTGACAATTGCATTTGCACTCAAGACTTTTATATAATCTGATTGGATTATATATTGGGTGGTTAAATTAAACGGATTCCCTCCATCTCATTTGTACTTTACAGAGTCCTTGTTGGTGCAAGTAGGAAAATGACTCAACTTTTCTCCAAACAGCAGTTGCATGAGGTGAGCTGCTAAAATTTTCATTGAGGGATATTTATCAGGATGTTGGAACATCTTACTGATGTTTGATTTCACAGGTGGGCAAGCTGTTGCATTCTTTAGATCTTTCATCTATTTCTTCGAAGATTGAAGATGGTGATAAGGCCTTGGAGATGAGAGTGGTTCAAGTGGTTAATGAGAATGAATCAGACACATCATCTGTTACAGATATGTTTCAAGATTCAGCATTAATGAACAGAATGGATTTGGAATCAATGACAGCAAATGGTATCATTCATAATGAATCTAAGATGTCTATTGAATCTTCGAGACAGGCCTCTAAACTTAGAGGGTTATCGCTTCCTTTGCTAGACCTTCATAAGGATCACGATGCAGATAGTCTTCCATCTCCTACAAGAGAAACTCAGTCTCTCCTTCCTAGTGATAAGGCATTATCAGGGGAACGTGGAGTAATGAAACCTGAGTTCCCCTTTCCAAGAGGAGCTCTTCAGATGAGTAATTCTGTAATGCATCCATACGAAACTGATGCCCTTAAAGCTGTTTCCTCCTATCAACAAAAATTTGGCCGTAGTACGTTTTTCACGACTGACAGACTTCCAAGTCCAACCCCATCTGAAGATCATGATAATGGGGACACTGACATTGGTGAAGAAATTTCCAGTTCTATTCCCAAAAACTGCAATAGTTTAAACACATTGGGTCCTAAACAGCTTGTTGTTTCTTCTGTTCCCCATGTGTCCATTAGTACTGCTGGCTCCCTAAATTCAGCAGCAACTCCTGTATCAAGGAGTTCTCCAAAAATCAAAGATCCAAGACTTCGGGTCTTAAATAACCCCCCATCCCAAAGTTTCAACCCTGGAGTTGTTCCAGCTATGTCAAATAATGAAAATATAATTGTAGGTTTTGGGGAAATGGTGGGATCAAGAAAGCAGAGGACAGTTGATGAACCTATCCTTGGTGGTCCAGCAATAAAAAGGCATAAAAGTGAGCAGACAGACTCTGTTATCATCTCTAGTACTCCATCTTATACTGGGGGAGGTGGTTGGTCAGGAGTTAGAGGGGATGGGTTTCCAGTTACTAATAATAACCTTCTCTTAAAGTCCATGAAGGATGTTAGTAATTTGGAACAAGTAACAACTGCTGTCACAGCTCCTCCCACTGCACCGAATGCCACAGTAAATGCTATTGAGAATATACCCGCAACAACCGCAAGTATCGCATCAACTACAAGTATTGCAGCTACCTTGAGTGCTATTGAGAATATACCTGCAACAACCACAAGTATTGCAGCTACCTTGCAATTTCTTTTAAATGACATTGCAGTAAATCCATCCACATGGATGGATAGATTTAAAATGGGACAGCAGAGGTCTATGGAGCCTTCCAAAATCACAGCACAATCCGTGAGCTCTTCTAATAGTAGTATGAGAGGCATTCCGCCAATGAATGTGGCCCTTCCCCAATCTTCCCCGACTGACCCCAGGCGGGGAGGAATTCGTCAGGCTTCTCCGCAGATAGCTACTCCAAAGGTAATTGGTCAAAGCATCTGGATTTCAAAGAACAGTTTGAATTGTTTTGGTAATATTTGACCTTTATCATTGTTGCAGGACGATCTCGGGAAAATCCGCATGAAACCCCGTGACCCTCGGCGCATCCTTCATAACCCCTCAATTCAAAAGGATGAGAAAGCGGCTTTGGACCAAACTGGTGGTTTAATTGCCAAAGTCCAGGTTGAACAGTTGGATAAGAAGCCTGCATTGGTCAATTCCTCTGCTGCACCCGATATATCTCACTTATTTACTAAAAACTTGAAAAATATTGCCGACATGATCTCTGTTTCTCAACCACTTGTCTTCTCACCTCTAGCTTCTCAAAGTCCTCCATCACAACATACTCCCGTTTCTCAAGGTAAGTTGGAAGTGAAGGCGGTAGTTTTGGATTCAAGCCAACTCCCATCATCTGAAGTGGCTTCTGTAATCCACTCTCGACCTCAGAGCAGTTGGGGAGATGTCGAGCATCTCTTTGAAGGTTTTGATGACCAACAGAAAGCTGCTATCCAGAGAGAAAGGGCAAGAAGGATAGAAGAACAAAAGAAAATGTTTTCAGCAAAAAAGCTTTCCCTTGTCTTGGATCTGGATCATACTTTACTGAATTCAGCTAAGGCATGAAGCATATTTGGATCTTGTGTTGAATTTTTATGTATAACTGAACTTTTTTCTGATGTCATTTTTATTATACTGCTTTCAGTTTATTGAAGTAGATCCAGTACACAATGAAATTTTGAGGAAAAAAGAAGAACAGGAGCGTGAAAAGCCTAAGAGGCATCTATTCAGATTTCCTCATATGGCAATGTGGACTAAGTTACGACCAGGGATCTGGAACTTTTTGGAGAAGGTAACATTCTGTTAGCGAGTTTTACTTTCGATCTGAATTATAGATGGATTGCATTGTTACATTTATTTATGTCTTTCAATGTGCCATATAGGCTAGCAAGCTTTTTGAGCTACACCTCTACACAATGGGAAACAAACTTTATGCGACCGAGATGGCAAAACTACTTGATCCAAAAGGTGATATGTTTTCTGGAAGAGTTGTATCCAGAGGCGATGATGCAGATCCCATTGATGGTGATGAAAGGGTGGTTCCTAAGAGCAAAGACCTGGAGGGTGTTTTGGGGATGGAATCATCTGTTGTGATTATTGATGATTCTGTGAGAGTTTGGCCTCATAACAAACTAAATCTTATTGTTGTGGAAAGGTGAATATGCATTCATATTTACTTAATGGTTGTTTGAGTTGAGGTTTTTGGAGGAGGGCTGCAGTATATACACAAATACACAAACTTATAAGTGTGTATTCTTGAAATTTTATAAAAAATAGAAAGATTAACATATCATGATGTTGAATAACTTTCTAATCATCTTTCCTGCTTTCTTTTTTTCAAAAGCCTCTCCCTCCAAAACCCTTCTTCCAAACAGACCCTAAATTTCCAGTGTAAAAACATAATATGTGTTATGTTGCTATGTAGGTATATTTACTTCCCTTGCAGTAGGCGCCAGTTTGGCCTACCAGGCCCCTCTCTTCTTGAGATTGATCATGATGAGAGACCTGAAGCTGGGACTTTGGCATCTTCTTTGGCGGTGAGATGATAAAATATTTAGATTTAATAATTGGTATGCGTTCGTTGTTTCCCTCCTGAGATTGCCCATGTTCACTTTGCCTGGGGAATTAGGTCATTGAAAAAATCCATCAGATGTTTTTTGAGCATCCATCCTTGGATGAAGCTGATGTCAGGAACATCTTAGCCACAGAACAAAGACGGATACTTTCTGGGTGCCGGATTGTCTTCAGTAGGGTTTTTCCCGTTGGAGAAGCTAATCCACACTTGCATCCGTTGTGGCAAACCGCCGAACAGTTTGGTGCTGTGTGTACAAACCAGATTGATGAGAAGGTGACCCATGTAGTTGCCAATTCTCTTGGCACTGATAAGGTATATATATTTTGTTGTAACATCTTTAGATGTTGCAGCTTGGAATTTGACTGATATATTATCTAATTGGAGTAAAAGCAACTTTATGTGAAGGAAAAAATGCACAGATGGGAGGGGAGGGGAAGGAGAGCTTAAAAGATGCAATTATTGAATAAGTAGAGGAGTTGTGAGAGAACCAGTTTTTCTTAAAAATATTGATAAATGCTACTCCATATTAATTTTTTAGTTTTTATTCTAATTAAACATATTGCGAAGTACGTAGTATAATATGTGTAAGTGGTGCGTCTATAGTTCTGCACGGCAGCACGTCTCTGTACTGTGTTCCATAAATAGAAAGAATTAGGTACAAAACATGATAAACTTTTAAATATTACATTTCATATTTCTCCTATAATATCTATCTAATTGCATAGGAAGAATTTGGCTTCATAAAAAATGAAAAAAAGTGAACAGAACACATACCATTTATAATAAATAATACAGTATCAAAAATAGTAATAACAATAATAAAATAAAGATTACATAGCTCCTTGACAGTCTCTCTTTTCCCAGCTTATTCGTTGTTCCTATTAAGTAAAGTTTATTTATGTTTATGATTATAATGTTTCATATATATATATATATATGTATTATATATAAATATATACAGGTCAACTGGGCTCTTGCTACTGGAAGATTTGTCGTTCATCCTGGCTGGTAAGTACGGTTTTCATGCTTCGATAGAAAAGCTCATCATTGTGTTTGTTTGTAAGATCTAAAGATATTTCTTTTGCACTTCAATTAAAAAATTGCAGGGTGGAGGCATCAGCTTTGCTCTATCGGAGAGCAAATGAACACGACTTTGCAATTAAATCATAAACGAACAAAAAATTCCCCACACCTGATAAAAAATTCTGACGCGTAAAATCCCACAAGTGTGAGATATGAGTTGGGAAAAACCAGTCAAGTCAGTCTGCGCAAAACTGAATGAACCATCCAACCCTATCCGACCTTGTTCCTCTTCCTATCCTTTTTCACCAAATGAAAGAATCGTAAACAAGAGAAAAAGTCGGCTTAGGGGTATAGAAGTCCAGCTATCCCCCTAGTGTATAATAGGATTGGTTCTAGACAGAATTAAGATGGGAAATGCGGCTGGTTGACCTGCGAAGGGGGTCAGACCTGAACTTTATAGAAGCATTCTTGCCATGGCTGATGTCGTTGGTCATAATTTTAAAAAGGAAACAGATCCCATTTTTAGTGGTGTGGAGATAGAGGGAATCATTCTTACACAAGAGTCAAGATGTCACTACTGAGTGAGGGGTGGCAGTGACTGGATAATTGTTTACTGCATAAATTGGGGACTGTTGAGGAGCCAGCCAAGCCATGCTCCATAATAGTCCCAGGTCAAATGGCTGAGCAAATACAAACACAGAATATGCCTGATTCAATTTTAAATTATATAATCTCGTCTCTTTTGCCTTTTTTCTTACAAAATTTTTGCATGGCGCCAATTAATATGAAAATGTGAAATAGCTATAATGGCTGTTTTTTAAAAACTTGACTAATATCCGAGGATTGGCAGTGAGAATATTAGGTTCTTTAAAATGATTGATTGATGGGGGCCGCGTGGCCTGCGTCTCGTTAATTCCAAACTTTGCTTTGTCAGATTGGTCTTTATGCCAATTTGGGAGAGCTATATTCGATTTTAGGCTAGCGTCGAAGTTGAATACGAAGTTGAATAGGTTCTATGGTCCGCTTCAAGCAATACAAATTACTTCGTTTAAAAAAAGTATTTCTTCTTTAACAAAATAAAGATAATAATTTTGCGTTTGTCCCAAATTATTTGTTACATATTCTTCTTTACACAAGGCAATTTTCTTAATCAGTATGCGAAGTCATAATAAGAGATGATTATGAGACACGGAGTGATAGAAATACTAGGAGCTCTTCAATTATACGTATTCAACTCGAACAATATTTGAAAATGTTTCTTAAATTTAAAAATGCTTTCTATGATTTGGGCACAAATGTTATTATAGGCTTCCTCGCGTTGGACTACTAAGGCTTTGGGCTTCCTTGCATTGGACTACTTGGGCTTTGGACACAAATTATAACATCATATGAGTGGGAGTAGGGATGGATTGGGATAGGATTGGGCCGGGCTTCGGGATAAGACTAGACCGGCTTCAGGCTTAAGGATATCAGGTTTGGGTTTACCGGGTTTGGTTGGGCCCAAATAGTAATGGCTGGGGTTGTGCTTCAGGACGGAACCACAAGTCACAACCATCATCATCATTACCCCAGTGTCGCAAAGGCTCCCACGTACAGTGGGGTAAAGAGTGGTTGGATATACTCAGTGCCGCAAAGGTTCCCAGTCTCCCACCTCGAGACAGAACCACACATTCAATTAAAAAATAATGCAGTTGAACCTAGACGGTGTGGGCCCAAAAAATTCGAGCCCGAAGCCCGCTCTTTATAGCCACCGGGTCAAGCCTATACAATATCGGGCCCGAGTTAGGGTGACTCGTCCCAATCCACTCCTAAGTGTGAGAATGGCAATGAGCAACTCCAATGTTTTTTAGGAGGAAATAGCTTAACACTTCAGCATAATTTTTCGTTTTGTTTAAGAAAGTTAATTGGCTATAACAAGCTACAGTTGACAAAAAGAAGTGTTAAAAGTAAAAAACTTGTGATAATAAATCAAAAGAAAGATTTATAGGCAACTATTTTTTTTTGAAGTAGTTAATTATCATTAAGCAAATCATGGTCTAACGAAACGGAAATACAAGTGGGAAAATGATAAAGCCAAACATAGCGGTCAGGTATAGAAACAAACAGTAGCTCTTGCAATATCATGAGCTACTCGATTCGCAGACCGCTTCACATGAGTAAAATAAATACTAGTAAAACTAGTATTTTTAAACAGTATTTATAGGCAACTATTGGAGCATCTTTTAGCATGAAAATAATTTTTTCTAAAATAGTTTACATATATGTTGATTGAGTGTGGGAAAATATATATTTGATGGGATCATGTGGATTATACTGTGGATGTAAATTATGACTCCACCTTATTTGTGAAGATAATGTATTGATTAAATGTGGAATTCAAAAATCGTATTTTTTTAAAGATACTGGTTGAGAAAGAGATATTGTGAGTTCTAAAATCAATAATTTTTTATGGTAACAATTGTTTAAAGGGCAATTTGGGCAAGGACGGGAAAGATAAATTATATCAACTGCATGAATACAAGTAAGCAATATAATGATAACAAGGAGGGATAGAGTTAGTGAATGTTTGGCAGGGATAAGCTTCTATTTTCTATCTTTTGTTATTTAAAAAATCACTAAGAGTTTCTAATTTTATGTTTGGCATGACGATTTTTAAAAACTTATTTCAAAATAAAAAAATCTTTTTAGAGGTACAAAATGTAGCATCCGGAAAGAAGTCTGTAGTTTTTAGCATTAATGAGTCAGAATAGCTTGTTATACACTACTTAGGCTATGTTTGACAGACATAGCCTATGCCATGATAATTTTTAAGAGCTTTTCAAAAATTAAAAGATATTTTTCGAGATGCTACAGAGAGTAGCATCTGAAAAAAGCTCGTGACTTTTAGTATTAATTAGGCTTAACAACTTGTATACCAAATCGAATTAAATCAAACGATCAACATTTTACTAAACATCTACCACATTTTATTTTTAAAATTTTTTCAGTCACTAAAAGTTAACAGTTATTAAAAAACTCACAAAAGTATCTTTTCAACTAGTTGTGCCAAACATACCCTATACTTATATCAAATAGAGCTAAATTAAATAGTCAGCTTTTTATTTAACAACTACGGGGTAATTTAGTCACTAAAATTAACAGTTACTAAAAAGTTTATAAAAGTATTCTTTCAGCTAATTAATAATGTTGGACAAGATGTAATGACTTACTATAGGAAAAAAAAGAAAACCCTAAATTAACATAGTAGCGTACCAGTTTTACCCCCAACTTTATGATATGAAAACAACTTATTTTAATGCGTAGAAAAATTCATTATAACAGCCTCCATTCTCCATTTTTTATGATTGGGTCGCTTCATCAAATAAGTCCTCAAGTAGATTACTGTTGCGAACAATGTGAGAAAACTTGTGTGATTTTTATATGGTGAGTAAAATTAGGTTCTATGTTCAGCCTCAAGACTTCAAGCCATAAATAATACGAGTATCGAATACTCTATGTATACTTCATCACAATAATTTTTTTTATCATCAAAACGACTTTTCATTAATATAGAACAAACATGCAAGACAAAATTCATGCAACTATCACAGATCCGATCGTAAGTCCTAGGAATACATTTAAAGTCATCGATCTATACAAAGCAACCTGAGGAAGTATAAAACGATCGAAAATGAAGTACTACTTATCAAAAGTTCTTCAAAAATCAAAATATTCCAACCATACCTGCTCGATCTGAAATAAAAGTAAGTACTACGAAAGAAAAAATAATACAAAAATAAAAACTTTCCCTAAATTGTTTCTTCGCACGGAGGTGGTTCCGGAGGAGGGCGAGCTGCTGTAGTATAGTAGAAGAGAATTTCAAGTCCCGGAAAATTCATCTGAAACTCTATCCTTCTTACTCTTGCCAATTTGCTCTTGCCAATTTGCTCCTTGAGAATTGCCATTGAAATAGATTTCCGAGGTGCAGAAGAAAACTCTATGATGTTGCCTTGTGTTCCTTCGCCTACAAAAACCCAAACCGCACTCCACCGGCTTGCACTCTACTCGTTCTACGAAAAGCCCAACCGCACGAACGAAGTTCGATCTGCAGAACAAAAAACTCTAACTAGTGTAGGGAAGATGATCGCTTTTCGAAAGAATCGATAGCGGAGAAGAAAACTGTAGCGGTGGAAATTACGCCCTAGTGAGAGGAGATCTGAAGAGGCGTGCTCTCTACACGGCCGAGAGTATTTCCCTACGAAGTACGAAGTACTTTACTTCATCACAATAAATTAGAAATTCCTTTTAAAACAAATAACAATAATTTATATGATACATACATATTAATTTTATTTTCTCTTGACAACTTTTTTAATTGACATACAAAGTCAAAATATATAATATTAATGAGATGGAGGGACTAATTTAAGTACTAAGAGCTTTCTAATTCTGTGTATGTAATTTAAACCATATTTTGAATCATTTCTGGAATTTAAATATAATTTTTCCATAGCAACATATTAGAAGCTGTTCTCTTCGCCTGATCTGAATGTTTCTGATCTGAATTTTTTAAGTTCTGATCTGATCTAAATCTTTCTGATCTGATCTGATCTGAATCTTTTTGATCTTTCTGATCTGATCTGAATGTTTCTGATCTGGTCTGATCTGATCTGAATCTTTCTGATCCGATCTGATCTGATCTGATCTGAATCTTTCTGATCTGATCTGATCTGAATCTTTCTGATCTGATCTAATCTGAATAAAATAAGAATAAGACGAACAGAACAACACCTTAGTCATCCCTCGATCCTTCTGAATGTGGGCACAAATAATGTTAATATAAGCATCCTAGGTCGCATGGAACTTTTTGGGGTTCCAAGCATGCTAATAAAGGTCATCCATGTAGACTTATACTACGTACATATTATTTGAGGATTTGAAATGCCTACGATTAACAAAAATGCTATAGTCACCCCATTAGTACCCCACTTTGTACCCCATATAAAATCCTTCCCATTTTTACCTTTTGTTACCCCCTCCAAACATATCTCTTCCCACATCCCAATTTCTTTCTCTTGGCCGTCCCTTTCTATTCTCCCACCCCCAATTCCCATTATTTTCTCCTCTTTCCATTTTAAGAGCTCTATAATCTCCATTTTAGAAGTTCTCAAGACCTCCCCATTTAGTTATCTCTAAGGTAACCATCCCTTCTCAAATAATGAGGTACGCACTCTATTTCCAATTTTTCTTCATGTACGTTTTTATTTTTTTATTTCTCCTTTTTTTGATTTTATGTATATTATGTATGATATAACATTGAATAATTGATTAGTTTGTTTCATTGTAATGATTTTGAGGTGTTAATTAATTAAAATTTTAGTGTAATTTCTCTAGTTCATTTTATGCCCATAACATGTTTGTAGAAATTACTCAATGATTTTTGTTGTTGAAATTCAAGATTTCTTTTCCATTTTTTATACCTCAGTGTTTAATGAGGATTTTTATGGATTTCCAATTCAATATGATATAGTAATTTTTTTATTGAATATTTTATGTGATTATTATGAATTTTTTTAGGTTTGTAATTGAGTTTTAGATGTTTGGTAAACTATTGTTACATGTTTGTATTTCGTTTGAGCTGTCAGTAATGACTTCATAAATGTGTGGTGCATGTATTGGTTTTGTACTTGTCATTGATGTGGTTTGAGTTGTCATTATGTATTGTTTGTGGTAATGGCTTGGTAGTTTAAAATTTGTTTGTAGTTGTCTGTCATGTGAAATTAGTTGTCTGGCAAGCCATTTGAGTTGTCTGTCACTTCAGTTTGAACTGTTGAAACTAGGTTTGTAGTTGTCTGTCATGTGCAACTAGTTGTCTGGCAAGCCATTTGAGTTTTCTATCACTTCATTTTGAATTGTTGAAACTAGGTTTGCAGTTGTCTGTCATGTGAAATTAGTTGTCTGGCAAGCCATTTGGGTTGTTTGTCACTTCATTTTGAACTGTTGAAACTAGGTTTGTAGTTGTCCGTCATGTGAAATTAGTTGTCTGGCAAGCCTTCTGAGTTGTCTGTAGGGTATTCAATTCAACCTTTATTACAATACATAAATTGTCTGTATAAGTGTCGTAAATATCTGTCTTGGTTATACTTGTGTGTCTACAGGAGCACCTTTGCAGAGCACCTGTTAATGGGAAAGCTCTTGGTTCCAGAGTGTGAATATGCAAACATGTGGAACAAGAGATGTTAATACGATGTTCGTTTGTGGCGATTGAAGAGGGTGGGAGAAGCACATGAATTCCTTAGAAATGTGGGAATGTTTTTATGGGTTGTTTAATGCAGTTGCAAACATTATGGATGTCTATCTACAAAATGTGTGGAATATTGTACAACCGTTGATGTTAATGTTGTACAATGTTCAATAATTGGATGAGATTTTTTTTTTGTTTTTGAATATGTTGCAAACCTTACAAATGTGACATTCAAGTAAATGAGGATATGTAGTTGTGCAATGTTGTACATTGGGTTATGTTAGGTTGTCAAGTATAAATGAAACCTTTTTTGTTATGTTGTGAACTTTTACATATGTTTTTATTTAATTATGTAGTGTTTGTCTACGTATGCAATTTATATGTCTGTGAATGACATAATTGTCTGTACGTGTGTGCGTATAGTCTTTTTAGGTATACATTTTGTCTATGTGGCAGCTAAGTTGTGTAGCTGTAGAAGAAATATACCACAACACAAACACATAATTTTCAAGACCACAAGTAATTGTTCATTCCAAACTACATACACTCCTAATTCACAATAACTGAAGGCTCAAATCCGACCCCTTGTCATAGACACATGGCGATAATACGGTCCAATCATGAATTTCATTTTAGACATTACTTGTGTGCACTTCTCTTCATCTGTTATTTCAGAAAAGTATACATATTCCCTTCAACACATAATTATCATTTTCGTCTCTACAGACAAACAATTATCTTTATATTCGGCCAAATATAACTATGTTTCCAAACAAAAGCACCCACATTTATATAAAAACTGCATGAACACTTACTCAACTCATCAAACGTACATTATAATACATTTGTGAAATACTTGCATGCGAATATAGACATTTGTTCTACTTACACAAACAAATAAAGTTGTCTGGTCACACAGACATTAAACAACCCATAAAAACATTCCCACATTTCTAAGGAATTCCTATGCTTCTTCCACCCTCCTCAATCGCCACAAAGGAACAACGTATTGACATCTCTTGTTCCACATGTTTTCATATTCACACTCTGGAACCAAGGGCTTTCCCATTAACAGGTGCTCTCCAAAGGATGCAACCATCGCTCCACATTCTTTGGACCTGTAGACAAACAAGTATAACCAAGACAGACATTTACGACACTTATACACACAATTTATAAGGAATTCATATGCTTCTTCCACCCCCCTCAATCGCCACAAAGGAACAACGTATTGACATCTCCTGTTCCACATGTTTGCATATTCACACTCTGGAACCAAGGGCTTTCCCATTAAAAGGTGCTCTCCAAAGGATGCAACCATCGCTCCACATTCTTCTGACCTGTAGACAAACAAGTATAACCAAGACAGACATTTACGACACTTATACACACAATTTATGTATTGTAATAAAGGTTGGATTGAATAGCCTACAAACAACTCAGAAGGCTTGTCAGACAACTAATTTCACATGACAGACAACTACAAACCTAGTTTCAACAGTTCAAAATGAAGTGACAGACAACTCAAATGGCTTGCCAGACAACTAATTTCACATGACAGACAACTACAAACCTAGTTTCAACAATTCAAAATGAAGTGATAGAAAACTCAAATGGCTTGCCAGACAACTAGTTGCACATGACAGACAACTACAAACCTAGTTTCAACAGTTCAAACTGAAGTGACAGACAACTCAAATGGCTTGCCAGACAACTAATTTCACATGACAGACAACTACAAACAAATTTTAAACTACCAAGCCATTACCACAAACAATACATAATGACAACTCAAACCACATCAATGACAAGTACAAAACCAATACATGCACCACACATTTATGAAGTCATTACTGACAGCTCAAACGAAATACAAACATGTAACAATAGTTTACCAAACATCTAAAACTCAATTACAAACCTAAAAAAATTCATAATAATCACATAAAATATTCAATAAAAAAAATTACTATATCATATTGAATTGGAAATCCATAAAAATCCTCATTAAACACTGAGGTATAAAAAATGGAAAAGAAGTCTTGAATTTCAACAACAAAAATCATTGAGTGATTTCTACAAACATGTTATGGGCATAAAATGAACTAGAGAAATTACACTAAAATTTTAATTAATTAACACCTCAAAATCATTACAATGAAACAAACTAATCAATTATTCAATGTTATATCATACATAATTTACATAGAATCAAATAAAGGAGAACATAAAAAAATAAAAACGCACATGAAGAAAAATTGGAAATAGAGTGCGTACCTCATTATTTGAGAAGGGATGGTTACCTTAGAGACAACTAAATGGGGAGGTCTTGAGAACTTCAAAAATGGAGATTATAGAGCTCTTAAAATGGAAAGAGGAGAAAATAATGGGAATTGGGGGTGGGAGAATAGAAAGGGACGACCAAGAGAAAGAAATAGGGGATGTGGGAAGAGAGATGTTTGGAGGGGGTAACAAAAGGTAAAAATGGGAAGGCTTTTATATGGGGTACAAAGTGGGGTACTAATGGGGTGACTATAGCATAATTGTACGACTAATTTGTGAGATGAAAGATTGTTTCGGTATGATGAATGAGTGATGCGGAAGTACAATATGATTCCACCTAATTATGTGCAGATATATGTGATGATTTAGTGTAAACCTATAAGGCTATAACAAGTTAAGTTATTTATGAACATTGAGTGAGAGATAGAGAAAAAATAGGGAAAACTGGAAAAGTAGCAAATCAATCTTCCAACTAACAAAAAAGTACAAATCACCCCTTATATAAGGGACTCTGTCTAGTCGTCGCCATTTGAGGCGGTTCCCGGTGGAATGTTTTGATGAAATTTTTTTAGGATCGTCTTCGTTGAGTCTAGTTTACCCATACCAAATTTCAGCTAAAAATTCATTCGGGAAGGCAGTCAAATGAATTTTTGAAGATAATTGTGCAGTTAAACAACACAGTATATTTCAGAAAATCATTTGACTGTCTTCCTAGTTGAACGATGGCAAAGCTTCCTCTCAACATAAATCGATGGAGACGACGGCTTCATCTTCAACATTACTCTCTGGTGACGACGTAATGTTGGCGATGACGGTCTTTATCCATCACATCAAGCAGTTCAATTTAGTGAAGAATCAAGAGATCCACCAACTCTATTCACCTGTGGCTCATGTATGTGCTTTTAATGTTTATAATAATTCACTTGATGACCAAGAACTTAATTCTAGGTATCTGGGATGAGCGCGCAAATTGGTTGAAGCAACTTCTGTTGAACAATTGATTCCTCATCAATGTGATCATGGGTGTTGTGTGGAGCTTCTTATCTTATATTCTTATTTACATACCCGGAGTACTTCTTTTGTTATGGAGTGTGATGATGTTCATTACACTCTAGCCCATATATGATGTTAAGGCTTAGCCGATTACCATGTACCCCATTAATTTCCCATGTATAAATTTCTCGTATGTTAATGAAAAGGTTACATCATTATCGAGATTCATCACATTTTTTACATAATTGCTTATTTTGATTGAATAAGAGAGCAAAGAAAATAACATTTTATGGTTATTTTTTGGAATAATTGAAAATAATTTAAAACTAAAATGCAAACTTAGAAGATATGTATACATTAGGGAAATAAGGCAAAACTGGAAAATGATTCTTTTCACCAAAATCAATTAATTCAATAACTTAGATCTTACTTGTTTTGATTGTTATATAATTTTATTATGCACAAAATCAAAATTCTAGTGTTTAAGAGCCCGTTTGGTAGTACCAAAATCGGCTGTTTTGGCTGATTCTGCTGAAATTTATGATATTCTGGCTAAAGTGGCTGTATTTGCTGATTCTGCTGATTTAAGAAAAAAAAAATTAAAATTATATTTTATTAATAAATTAAAGAAAAAATTATATGTAAAAATAGCTAAAATGGTCCTCTACAGTAACTTCAGCCAATACAGTCAGAAAAGTAACTCCAACCTTACTTTTTCGGCTTATTACACAATTCAGCGCGCGAAAGTAAAAGTTACGTGTTTGGTGAAAAAGCTGGCTGATAAGCCTGATAAGCCGATAACAGAGTTCTCCAAACGGGCTCTAAAAAAACCTAAACTACTAAAACTGAAAATAGAGGCTAACAAAAATGCTCTATAAAAAAGTTCTAATATAAAATTGAATCTATGATCAGGTGTATTATAATCACATATCTGTATTATTTTGTACACAATATTATTATTTTTATTGAAAATTTAATAGAGTTTTCAGAAATATTACTAAAATCAAATTTATTTACACATATATTACTAATAGTTACTACAATGTAGTGTTATACTAATTTAAGTTTAAAAGTTGAGCATAAATTACTATAATTCCATTATATTGTAATTTCAATTCAAGAAATTACACTAAGTAGGAGTAAATGAGATTTGGAATTCCAAAATAGGAAAATAAGAATAGTTACTGTTATGTATGAAAAATACTATCATGATCGAAAAAATATTGCCATTAATTGTAATATATACTGTCATGTTAAATGCATTGTACTGCAACTATTTGACAGTCACGTCTATGAGATGACAATAAATACTGTTATGTTAGTCATATTTCGAGAATACAAACACAGTAGTCCTTTTTTGGAATTTCAAACTCTATTTACTCCTATTTTGAGAAATCTTCCTTACTATTCACGTTTTTGTAAACGATTTTTATTTTAATAATAAATATATAACTCAATTTAATACTCAGTAGTAGGGGTGAGCACGGGTCGGGTCGGGTCGGGTCAGGTAATTGGTAAATTTCAAGAATCACTGGTTCCATTTAACAAGTAGGTTCGGTCCGGGTATATCAAGTTTCGAAATAGGAACCGAACCTTACCCGCTCCGTTTGAACCGGGCCGGTTTGGTCCGAGTCTTCGGTTCTTTTTTTTTGTAAAAAAAAAACGATTATGCAAGCAAAGTTTCTAGTAAGTACAAAATTCTAAAATTAATTACGTGCTAATGTAAAAATACAAAATAAAAGTATAAGACAACATTTTAAATTAGTTAACAAAATATCGAACCACAAATCTATAAATTAAACTACACACAACCACTCTAATTAAAATGTTAATCATCATTCATATACCAATTAAAAAGATAGGACCATAAATTCATAAGAAATTAAACTAGTTACTACACATATTTGTCCGTGAAAACAATTTAAAGCTTATTAAATCTCCAAGTATAAGTAAAATTCAAATAATTAAATGAATATGTCACACTTCATTGACTAAGAGTCTTTGTTTATAAAAAATATATTAAAGAACAAAAGTTTGATGCATTTGGAATAGAGAATAGAGGAAAATAATTAGGAATTTAATTATACGGACTTAGAAACTAGTTTTAATACACTAGGAAGTTTGTTTAATTGAAAGTCTTTGTCTACATACAAGAACATCAAGAGATTTCGTGTGTTGTTAGTGTATTATATTATACTAGTATTAAATATTTTAGACATTATTAAAATAATATTTTAAAACGGTTCTGTCCGGGTACCCATTTTTTCAAATTTTAAGACTCGTTCGGTTCCTAAGTTTTTCAGGACCCACCCCACCCCGAACCGTTTGGATTTTCTAAAATTAGGACCCGACCCTAACCAGCCCCAAACCTGTATTACCCGACCCGTGGTTCCAATCAGGGGCGTAGCTAGGACGGATGTCTACCCTGGGCCAACTTTACACTAAAAACGTTATGTAGAAATTTTAATCATTATAGTGTGAACATAACGATTAAAATCCATTAAAATTCATAGTAATATTTTTAAACAATACTTACAATGTTTGAAACTAAAACGTTAACTGAACACGACGCTCTTTGACCTTAGCAAACTCATTTATGACAGACTCGCCGCCAATTTTATTGACAATTTCCTTTTCAATAAAGATGGTCAAACAATAGGCAAGAAATTTATCTTTCAATACAAGATGAATTAATCTTGTAACCCTTTCCCGATTTGGAGAGTATTCCAACCAATTAAATTCATTGAACCACGTGGCTTGAAAACGACGTATCCTATCTTTGTAAACTCCGCCTTTGTAAAAGTTCAATTTCGGGTGATAAGGTCCAAGCATCGAATAAGATCGTTTAATTTCATCTCTTTTCTCCAACAGCCAATTTCAAGTGCATCAGAAACCACTTCCTCTTGAGCGGATGAGATATTAGGAGTTTCAATTGAGACATTTAACTCTTATCTACTCTGTGGGCTTGTACTAGGCTTATAAAACAAATGCAATGTGATTTTTGCCTTTTTGGAAGTAGATTGAGTAGTCATACCTACTAAAAATACCAAAACAATAAAAAACTAATCAATATTTTATTTTAATTCATATTATTATTTAAAAAAATTCACAAATCACATTTGATGTTCCTAATATTTCTATTTCACAATTCAAAGCATACAAATATACAATTACACAAATCAATTGTGAAACACTATTACACATTTTTACACTAAGTCACTAACACAACCTAATATATTAATTTAACAAATAGTGTTAAAATTAAGAAAGCTAATGATAAAAATAAGAGCTATTGTTGAGAGCATGGAATTTCATGTAGAATGGAATAATACGTAACTTACTTTATTTCATTACATGCATGCTACATATATAGTGCAATGGGTGGATGAGAGTAACATGGGGAAAATAATGCATGGGCCATGCAAAATGTGCACCCACGTACATGTGTTTAATAAAATGGGAACATTACACAATATGAAAATATACTATGGGTCCAATACTCTCAATACTCCCCCTCAAGGTGGCGTGTGAAGGTCACAAACACCCAACTTGCTTCTGAGAAATTGGAAACGATCAGTGCCAAGCGCCTTAGTGAAAATATCAGCAATCTGGTAAGTTGTAGAGATGCAACATGGTTGTATTTCACCACTACCAACACGTTCGCGGACAAAATAACAATCCATTTCTACATGCTTCGTACGTTCATGAAAGACAGGATTAAGTGCAATATGTCGAGCTGCTTGGTTATCACAGAAGAGTGAAGTAGGACCAGATTGAGGAACTGTGAGGTCTCGAAGTAACCATCGTAGCCATAAAATTTCACTTACTGTGACGGCCATGGCACGGTACTCAGCTTCTGCGGAAGATCTTGAAAACTGTTTGTTTCTTTGTTCTCCAAGAGATTGGCGAACTGCCAAGAGTAATAAAATATCCAGTGCTAGAGCGACGGGTGTAAGAGCACCCGGCCCAATCCGCATCACAATAACCTTTCAAAGAGTAATCAGTGTCCGCCGACAAGAAAATACCCTGCCCTGGGGTCTGTTTCAAATAGCGAAGAACCCGCATGGCAGCGTCAAGATGAGACTGACGCGGCTTGCTAAGAAATTGACTAAGTTGGCTGACAGAGTAGACGATGTCGGGATGAGTGACTGTAAGGTACAATAGACGCCCCACCAAGCGACGGT